CCGTATGAGTAGGCCCACTCCCCTCCCCCTCTCTTCCCCCTCCCGCTCCCGTTCTTCACGAAGCCGACCTGAATCCGCTTTTGATTAAGGCTCTTTATAAGTGGTAGAAATTTATCAAATATGAAAGCTGGGGCAAGAGATAGGGGATCAATCGAAATATTGTGCACAGAAAAACATTTTGGGATGCAATCTATGAAATGACCAACAAAAAAAAGGTCAGGTTGGCAACGTCGCGGGCTCGAATTCCCTCGCCTATGGGCACCTGGACCGGTCTGAACATGAAGCCACATTAAAACCAATATTAAAATGCATACCTGCACAGTATAAACAGTTTGTCTGCTTGTATCGACCACTCGTTGTGGTTGACTGACTGTACCCTGCTGCTGCTGCTGTACTGTACTGTACTGCTGTGTTGCTGGGACACTCGATCCACGACATCCGTTCGAACTTGTTATCTGAAAATTCTTGCACAACATCGCTGACAAGAGGAGGGCCAGTCAGTGAAATTAAGTTAAATTTAAACTTTGCTTTTTCAAAATATTTTTTTGATTGTTTTGCTTCAACGTCGAAAATAACATCAAAACCCTTTGTCTCATTAACAATCTCAAAGTATTCACGCTCAGAAAAATATTTTTCATTTTTTTTACCACAAATAAAGTTTAAGGTTGTTTGAACCAAATGGGGAAGAAAAAAAAATATTTTCTTTTTCGAAGGAAAATGGCGAAAAAAAAAAATTTTCTGTCATAATTCAAAAACAGAAAAATTAAGACAAAAGTCAAATTACTGATTATTATTCCACGCTATTTCATGCTTTTTAGCAATTACTTAGTCTTGTTACTGTGAGATCAAACATAGTTCGACTTGTGACACACTTCTTCGTTGAAGATGTGCAACTGACAGTCTTTCCATATTCTTACTCTTACCAAACTTACATTCCACAAACCCAATTTACTGGTCAACTTGTCGTTCCTTTCCTTTTTTTCCTACTTTGCTCTTCCAAATAAAAATGTAAGACATTAAACATTCTCTAAATCGCCTGGGCATTGCTCGTTTGTCCCAGTATTATTGTTATTAGCTGTGAAAATTGACGTATCAAAGTTAATAACGCCAAACAAACTGCATATGTTAACACAGAGAAGATTTCAAGCCTTCCTCCCCCCTCCCCCCCG